TTTTCGACTCTGAGTTCTCTTCAGTGTGGAAGTCAAGTACAAACTATAATGAATATTTTTATTTTAATTATGAAATATAACTTAAATATTAATTTCTTGTTATATAACAATAGAAAATAGAATGCCATTTGAGTATATTTGAATAATGAATGTATTTAGCAGTTAAAAAGTAGTTTATTGAGCTTTTACTGACTCTTTAATGTGATTAGTTTTTGCTTTTAACTTTTTCTTCGCTGGATCTAACAATAAGTGTATAATTGTAATAAAGAATCACTGTAGCTCACTGAACTGTTTTGTGTGAAGTCATAACATTCTGTTTCCTATTATTGTATAACAAGAAATTAATATTTAAGTTCTATTTCATATTGTTATTTCATTCTGAAAATCGTTCTAGTTACCCACCCTGTATAACGAAATCAGCACACATTTCTAAGCTAAACTAAGCCACTTGGAACCGGCATAATATAACGAAACTGGTTTAGTAAAACAGTTTCTAAGCCGGGCAGAGACGTCTAAGTTGCGAAAGGGATTACACAATTATTTTATACGATTTTTATACGCTTCAGGGCATTAACACCTTCATACGTTATGGCACAATTAAAGTATCGATACGATCGAGAGATCGACCGGTCTCAGCGACCGGCAATAAGACGCATTTTGGAAAAGGATGATGTTCCGTCTAAGAGAATGACTTTATGCGTGTCATCTATAATAGAAGTAATATATATTAATCATATTGAATTTCATTGGCAAATTTTGGCATGTATTTCACATATTTTAATTTACAGAATAATAACGTAAGTATGGAAATAGGGAAGAGTCCGCGTGTAGGAGTGCCAAAATGGAGAATAGAATTAACCGATGGCTGGTACAGTACAAATGCCTGTATCGATATAGGCATGGTGAAGAACATATCAACTGGTAAAATAAGAGAGGGCACGAAATTGCTGTTGTCCGGTGCGGAATTACTCAACTGCGACCAAGGTTTCTATCCACTCGAGGTAGGTATCGATTTTTATCGGAATTGGAAGCGAAAATCAACCAGTTAGTTGTTTGATTTCTCATCGTCTAGGCACCGGCTGACGTGTGCTTAAAATTGCACACGAATTCAACCAGGCGCGCACGATGGGACACGAAATTAGGATACGCGCCGCGTTCGGGGCCGATACCCATCAAGTTACGTAACGTGTGTCCGAGCGGCGGTTTAATCGGCAAAATGACGATTGTCGTCGCTAGAGTGTATCCGATGTTATATTACGAGAAAACCGCATCCGGAGATTCGAGTAAGACACGTTTAAATCTAACTCGTCCTAGAGGGAGAGTTAGCGATCTAATTTTCTTATGTCTTACTTCCCGTGACAGTTGTCAGAAACGCTAAAAGCGAAGAGAAAGCGCAAAATAAATACGAGCAGCAATGTTGGTCCAAGATAGAGTCGTTCTACGCTCAAGCGGAGGACTTTCAAGGAAAAGAACTTTCTGGCGAAACTGATGATATGGCGATTCAACTGAGCGAAGATTACGAAAACCTGTCTACGGAGGTATATGCGATTCGATTAATCTTATTTGTAAATTCCCTTCGAAACCGTCAATGTATTCGTTATAAATAGGAATCCGTTTCTAAGAAACGACATGATGAATTGCTACAAGAATTACGTCAGAAGGAGGAACGATTCAAACAGAGGATGCAGTCAAAATTGCGCGAGAGCTTGCCGGGGCCGCGACAGGTTTCTCAGTTGCTCAAAGTTCGCGTGTGTGATGAAAATGCGAATGCCATTCTCTCAGTTTGGTCGCCTAGCGAGGAGATTGTCGACGCTCTCAAAGAAGGCGCGTGTGTTTCGCTCTGCAACATCGTGGCTTCCGGAAAGAGGTAGTATTCTCGTAAAAAGGAGTAACTGTATCGCTGCGCGGATGTAATAGCGCATAATGCTGGATTTTACGAGCGTAATTGTTCAACAGGGGTACCGAATTGCAACTCACCGCGCGTCGGTCTGCAATCTTTAAACCGGGAAGGATGCGCGATGCGTCTTATCCCGCTAGAGTGTGCACATCGCTAGACGAAATAGCAAATTCCGAGTTCGTTCCACCTTATGGAGAGTTTGATACGGTTGGTCTTGTCTGTTCAGTCGGTCCTGCTCCTTATGTAAGTGTTATCATATTTTTTATTAAGATTCTAAAGTGTAAACTCTCGAAATTGTAAAAAAAAATATGAGAACGATGACTAATTAAAGTTTGAGCGCGCTAATGAATTTATGTAAAAATGTTCTTTATTCAAATTACTTGATTGGACGTTTCGATTCCGCTTTGAGTCATCTTCAGTAACAAATTAAAAGGTCAAACGTTCCTAGAGAACAAGGAATAAGTATTTTTCTAATTATGTTCTTGATATGTATAATGTTTATACTTTTATCTTTTAATTTATTACTGAAAATAACTCAACGCTGAAACGTCTAATTGATTAAAGAACAATTTTATATAAATTAATTAAAGCTCCAATTATCTCGCTAAAATGCTCATTGATCCCCGTTGTTACGTTTTAATATTTTCTAAAATTTCTACCGTAATTAAAGAAATAACGGTTTGCAAAATATAAGAATGTTATAATAAAATAGATAATATATAGTTTGGAAAGAGATATTAAACAATTAAATAATAGAGATGTTTCGAAATCTTATTGATTTGATTCATCATTTTGTATCTACAATTCTTAACATAATATTCTATATGGAAACATTGTAGGGTATGAGAGACTTTGATGCTGTACATTTGGCATATTGTAAAACGGGTTCGAGCGAATCTTCGTATCTTTCAATATTATTTTGGCAAGGAATAGCCAGTTACGGTTATACAGAGATTCTTACTGTCGGATCTATCGTAGCTTGCAGCAATTTAGAATGGCGGAGGGCAACTTCATGGAATGTTCCAGCGGCGTATTGCACGGATAGAAGTACTTTTACGCGCAATCCTCGCCGAAATCATTTATACGAATCCTTCGAAAATCTGCGAAACCTAATCATGGTACGCTATATTATCTTTGCTTTTCATCATGTATTTTGTACAATTTATAATTTTGATATAATAATTTCCTATACTTTTAATTATAGTTTTTTTAAATAGACCCTAATTTTTTTTTTATAAAACGTGCTCCGTTAAATTCTTCGTCAATTCCTATTTTATTTTATTTTTATAAAAATTTCTCAATTTATAAACGTGTTAAATTTGACTTTCAAGGATCCAGTTAAGTACGCTGAAAGCTGCACTTTCGAGCTTAACGTGGAATTGCAAAAGAAGTCGACGCCTACTCGCTATTCGGCGAGTAAAAATACTCCGATTAAAATGTACAGTTCGACGTCAAACGCCGACAAAAAATTGGTCGACTATATGTCGCCGCTGGCGACGCCGAAATTGGGAGTGGACAACCGCTCGAGTGTTATCCTATCTAATCCCTCGATTAAGAAACGACTCGAGAAACTCCAACAATACGGCGAGGCGCCCCAACTATCTCCTATTATACTAAGAAACTCAAAGAGGATATGTTTGGATTTTCGATCACCTATTCTTCCCATTTCAGACGTAAACTCGACAAAGGAGACAACGAATGCTAACCAACCCGAGGAATTAAAGTCTAGTACCTCGGAAAAGCATTCATAGTTACATTGTGTTTATTCGTTATTAATTCTAATGATAAATGTCATAAAAGGTGTATATTTGTTAATAATTATCAAATGTTCATTAATAACAATAACTATTTTATAATTATAATAAAGTAGTTTTATTACTTCTGCATTTTCCTATATTTTCAATCCGGTTCTAATTCAATTAATCTCCTTTGATTTTATTACGAATATAATTAAGGACGTGATTTTAAAATTTATCGGAAATATCGAATTATATAATATAATTATTATTGTGTTAAAAATCAGTAGAAGACACATGAAATATTACCGGAGACAAATTTCTGTTCAACCAAATTACGGTTAAAAAATACTAAGAAGGTTGCAATGTAATTGCGATATTCGTAATTAGGAGAATCGTCTGCAATTCGCGAGCACTTTTTTGGGAAAAGAAGGCAAACATTTTATTCTGATATCTATATTATAGTAATCGAGATGCAGATAACATTTATTATGTTTTAAAGATTAAATTACAAAATCCGATTTTTCAGTAGGTTTCATAGCTTTGTAAAATATAAATAAAAAAAGTCTTATGACAAAATATTGTTAGCTTCTATGAGATAAATATTGAATTCGATTATATTTGCATCGCAAGGCAAGCAAATTTTATTTATAATATGTATTTTTTAAAATTGTAAAATCCAAGTCTTTAACAACTTTTTGTAGTTTTATAAGAAGTAAACTAAAAAAATTACACGACGTTTCTTCTACAAGAAAAAATATATTTAATTTTTACTAAATTTTTGCTTAATTTCTATTTAATTTTCACTGAATTCACGATTATGATTTATAAATTCTAAACTATTCTTCCAGAGAGAAAGCCGTTCGTAAATCCGCAGATATATCCAGGTGTTAGCCCAGCTGTTACTCCTTTGCAGCTGGTCATTTTCACTACATCTATATTCGCCTAAACATTACTGATTTTATAAATTTTGAAAACTTCCTGGCGCAATTTATGAAAGTTGCATTTGACATAATTGTCATAAATAATTAACATAATTATTATATCTATAAAATATTGGGGAAGAAACGAAAGAAAGAACTTAACGATTTTAAACTATACGACAAAAATTCCGTCTTGGCTTTTTCACACATACAATTTTCAATGCTTTACACTTTTAATACTCTCGCTTATTTTTCAAATCAAGTGTGTCTCATACCAATAAATGCTGTGAGAGAAGACAACAGTTTTTCTCCTCTTCTTGTGAATAATACCCGGTATACACCAAGCGCGGGGACCCTCTCGGACCGTCATGCGATTGGATCGCAATGATCGCATGCGCTCGCAGCAGACAGAGCCGACAGAGGCAGGAGAAACTAGAAAAGGACTGCGCGTGGAATTGGCGCTCAGTTTAACACGCGCCGGCGTACCGTGCGTCTCGTTTATAATTTTTCCTCCAATTGTTCAATCACCCGGTGGATGGATGGCGATTTAAAAGGTTACGTGCGACGCGTCGGGTACTAGGGAGACAATTCATCGTCGTGTTGTGTTTTGTTTTCTCTCCTCGACGCCAACGGCCGAGGGATCCGTGCGCGGCGATGATCCACGTCGCGAATGTCCGCGTCATCCGCGTGTAGAGTGGTGTTCCGCGGCTCGCAGCATCTGTCAGTGTTCCCGCGGTACGTTTGATCGTAGGGTTTCGTTTCCTCCTTTACATCATCGGTGCAGCGCGAGATGACGAGCGAGACCCCGAAAGTGGAGTTCGCTCTCGGCAGCGAAGTCTCGCCGGGTCGCTTCTTCAAGAGCGCGTTCGCGCGAAATTTCATCAGTAGCGGCCGCGATTGCAAGTCCCTGGATTACGAGTTGCTCGACAACGTCGAGAGGAACGAGGATGACCGTAACAACAACGGACGGAACAACAATTTTTTCTCGCTCGTGAATTTCGCGGACGGCAGACCGGCGAACGGCGACGACGCGGCGCGAACCACCACTTTCTGGGAGCAACCGAAGCCGAAGGAGGTGAATGCCTTTTGTACTGTTTTGCAGTCTTTTCTTTCACAACGCGATTCTCTCTTAATATCTCTTAATAACGGTAACTACGCACGTGAAATATCATCTACTCCCTGGAGATGATGTTGTGGTATCCTGTTGTATATATATATATATATATATATGAGAGTTATAAGAAATGATACTAAAGATACTATCGATACTAAAGATTCTGGAGCGTGTAAAAATAATTTCCCAAAGGAATGCGCTAGTCTGCACCACATTGTACAGGTGAATGCACAAAGATTATACGCATTTCCTTTCATCTAAGAATTCATCTTTTTATCTCTCTCTCTCTCTCTTGCTTTCTCTGTTTCTCTCTTTTTGTTTGGTTTAAAACTAATTCTTTTTAGGAATATATATTCAATTCAACCTGAATTATAAAATTAAAAAGCATTGCTTAGTTTGTTGTTCTTTTTACAAATTTCTAACTCTAATTAGTATTTTAATGGGATTCAGTGAGTATTTTTTCAATTATTAGGTGTTGGAATTAATTCGTAGCGTTTTTTAATGAAAGAATGTTATTTATTTCACATGAGCATTAAAAAATACATTAATGAAAGTACTTCCCATCTCTTGTAAAACGCTACGAATTAATTCCAACACCTAATACATTGTGAAACATTGTTTATAAGGAATATTTTCATAGTTTTAAATAATTTTAAGTTATTTATTTTATTTCTTAGATTTTGACTTTCAGAAATGAAAAAATTGTTGAATTATAATGACAAGCAAAGATACATTAATTTAAATATACTAAATTCGTGAATATTATTTACATTGTAAAAAAGTATATAAAATTACATAAATAATAAGTGTCAAAATTACATAATTTATAATGGAATATAAAATTGTAAAATTTGTACAAAAATTAATATTGTGTAAATATATGTTAGACGAAAAATTATATATAAAGTCAATAATATATTTTATAGTTTCTATTTATATATGTACAAATTTTTATTGTAATTTTCCATCTAATATAAATATATTCACACAATTGAAAGTAAAAGTATTAATTTTTATAAAAAGGCACAATTTTATTAGCGAATTAATACATGAATACATAAATATTTTTAAATTTAACTTTAAACGTAAATTTATTTCTATAAATTGTTTAATTACTATGTAATTTTATTTGTAAGATATAACTTTACGTGTGTGTACATCTTTAATGGTGAGTTCCAAAATTACTCGCTATGATTGTTATAACTTTACATTTAATTTTTTTTATAGTAGGGAAATTTTAAAACGAATTCCAATTAGAGTTAATTTTAAATACAATACTATTTTAAACGCAATTTTTAATTTAACGATTAATTTAATAGTCTCACATCCACAATTTAATTAAATTGACAAATTTTATGTACTTTGGATAAATTCAAACTGATTTTGCTTACGCTGCAATTTCGAGATACATTGAAAAAATACTTAATGATTATTTGTTTAAAAAGTTTTAAACAAATATTTGTTAATATTTACTGAACATATTTACAACCATATAATACAAACATATTTATTTGATGCAAGTACTATTAATTTGATTCAACTGTCATTTTTTTAATTGAGTAAATATTTATTTACTGTAAATAAATATTCATTTACAATTAGTATTATTAAAAAAAATACGTATTAAAATTAAAATTAAAATTTAAAATTAAAATTTTTTCTTCAATGTATCTCATCCATTCCTCATATGGATCAATCTTTCATAAAGATGTGAAACTGCTTCTACATGTTCCGGAATCGTTAGACTTAATAACGCGCTTGAATTACGACGGGAGTAACGATAGCAGCGGCAAGTGCGTGCGTTTCTACTTTACGACTAATTACGAAATTCATATAGCAAAGCGCAATGAAATCCTTCGAGCGTTAGACCGCGCTCACGCGTCTGAATTTTGCAATTCTCGATTTAAATACAATAAATAGGATTTCTGCCGGATAACGCCGGCCGCATATCTCCTATTGTGCTGGATCGATTAAATGTCGAAAGATACAACGCGTGGTATCCAGTCGAAGGGAGAGGGTTCGCGGTTACTCTCGTTGAAAATACTCATTTAATGCGTTACATATAAAGCGGTGGCCGTCAAATAATTCGATACTTTCTATTCTTGACAGGCGGCACAGCCGGCTGCAGATGCGAATGAATTGGAGAAACTTCGAAAGGTGAGTTTATTTATGCCTCGTCGGCTGTATTATTGCACATTCATCCCCGGAGAGCATCTCCCCGCTCAAACATTCTCAGCTCGGACATACCCCTTTATCTCGTTCAAAATGCGTTGTCAACGTAACACGGCTTATTTAGAATCCTGAAAGGGTACCATTTTACTTGTTTCGAAATGATTCAAGATCGTGGTGCGATAACTGGAATGCCATAGAGATACGGTTAGCACAAAGGAATTAGAGCGCATTTTCTGTTTCGTAACTGAATCGATCGTTTCGAAGAATTTTATCTCAATCCATAATCTTTGGAATCCGACAAAGAAGGTTGAATTTAATTTTTATTGAAAAAAAATCTAGTAATACCTATATTTCATTTAGCGCAATATTTAGCAAATATAATACAACCTTAGCTAAAACTATAAAGCATCCTCACACAAATTGACGTAAATGTTCTATTTTGTACTTAACGAATAATAAATGAAAAAATAGATTTATTGAAAAATATTATTTATTTTAGTTATTGTTAGTTTTTGTTAATATTTTATTAGTTTTCTCTTAGATTTTACTGCCAAGAATATGCAATAACTTGAAGAGGTTTTTATTTATGGCCAAGGTTGTATGCAATCGTCTAGTAATAATTAAAAAAGTGTAAGATAATATTTAGAAAAGTGAAATTAGCGTTTAGTTGGTTTATATTAATTGAACATTTGATTGAAATTATTTCATCAAACTTTTAACTGTCATCTATGAATTTTGCTGAAAGATCTAAAATTTTGTTGGACACAGATTTGAAAATAATTTTGCTAGATCATCAAATTAATTTCGTTGGAACCTTAGAATTTTTAGAATATCAAAATTTTTTGTATAATATTTTTTCGTAGTATTTTTTCAATATAATTATTTTGATGACTCAACAAAATTATTTTCAAATCTGCGTATTCAGTAAAATTTTAGATCTTTCACTTTCAGAACAAAATCATTCTTTCCTAGATTTTTTTTTCCCAGTATTTTAAATTAGATTTAAAGATTGAGAAAGAATGTTTTTACTATCTTTAATATTTAAAGGATTAAAAATTCAAGACTTCGAAGAATGAGTTTCTGTTGCATTTTGACGACTCTGATATATATTTGCGTTCTCAGAATCTCCATTCTTCGATTCTTTTTTTTCAACGACGCGATCAGAAAAGGATCAGGTGTTCTTTAACCATGGCGCATTTTACAGCTTGAAACGACAGAGCGTTCTTTCATGTTATGTACGAGCAACGCGATTATTTATTCTGAAAGTAGCAGACCACGTTTCCGCTTGTCTTTATTTCGTTGTTAAGCGTTCCCTGATTTGCCATCAGGCGGATGGTGACTAATCGTTCGAAACAACGTAAAGTTACATCCCATAATATACTGGGATTCCATAATATACTTTTTCATGCCTATTTCCTCTACTATTTCCTACCATCGCACGTTATTATATCGGGGCGATGAATCTCATTGGAAATGTTGAAAATAATTACAACGACTCGAGTACCATTCGGTCACCGAATATTCACACAGTGAGTGGACCATCTATTCCGAGCCTACTGTGAAACTCTAGATGTTCTAGAGTTAACTATGTAACGTGGTATGAAATTCCGACCAATGAAATACAAGTAAATAAATCGCTCCTTTGTTTTAAAAATGACACAACTAAAAAAAGAGAGATTTTTGAGTTATTACTGTGAATGAATTAGATAAATATTATTTTATCAATTATCAAAAGTGAATTTGGTTAATTTAATTTTATAAAAAATCGTCGCAATTCAAAAAGGATGGTTTAAAAAATGTCGTCACAAAGTTTTTTAAGGATTATAAAATGAAAATGACAAAAATGACATTTGATCATGTTAAAGTACGTATTCTTTTTATTAGTATTATTAATGATTTTTTATTAATTTTTAATTTAGTTAATTAAATTTTGTGTTAGATTGAAAAGTAGTTTTTCTCTTTTCTGGGAAATTTAAATTTTTGAATTGTGTGTTTTTTTGAAAAAAAAAAAGGAGCGATATTATAATTATAATAAACACTATATCTTTTCCTTTAAACAGTATAACTTAATTTCTGATAGTCGGAGCCATTCGCTTAGACTACTAAGATCCTCAAATTAATTCGTGAAGTATTTGTTCCTTAAATATTTATAATTATTAACACATAAGCAGCACACAATATAATAATAAAAATATAATAATAAAAATAATAACAAGAAATGACAGACATCTCTGTCTGTCAAGTGAATGATCAAGTGTCACAGGTCGAGAAAAATTCACGCTTACGCGTTTCTATCGTCTTATTTAAACAACACAATTGTTTGGCTCCGTGCCAATGAATATCAGAAATTTTGGGTTAAGCACGTGTTGATTTAGTCACTCGATTTTCTCGCAAAAGTCCGCGCTATAAATGTGGCGGAAAGCATCGAAGTCGCGTCCGTTCCTGAAATATCCGTAGGTGGTTTGTCGCTCCCGACAACCGTTCGCCATAGATCGAGTATATGTCGAGCGGAAGTCCGCTTCAGCCCCTCCCGTAATTATTATCAGTCGGAGGGACCCGCGTGGTAGGCCTTTGTGGAACCCATCCGAATGCACGTGCGTGTGTTTGTGCACCGTGGCACGTTTGTCCGACCACGCCAGTGACCGGAGCCGGGTTCGCGCGTGATGTCACCATCCTGCTTTTTCGATCTCACACCATGACACCGTGGTCGTTACGAGAAAATTATCATCCCCCTTCTCTGCGCCATCGCGATGACCTGCCGCGTGTGAAACGAAAAGAGTCGCGTTAAACGACAATCCCTTCATTCGCAGTGAGCCTCCTTTGTTTGCGTAAGATAATCGTAGTCCTATCAGACGGTATGCACCGTCAAAGAGCGAGATAAGTTTGTTTCTTGGAAACGTTAGTGCGAAAATTCACTGTGGAATGTAAAATCGCAATTAAGCTTTATACAATGAAATATATATATACAACGAAAAGTACATATGGAAAGAATGATTTTGCTGAAGCATCTGAAAAATTGAACTACACGTGAAAAGAAGTAGTTTTATTAAAGTATCTAAGAATTTAATTTTAAAGATAGATTTGAAAATAATTTTGTTAGATCATCAAAATAATTATGTAGGACGCCCAAATTAGAATGTCAAAACTTTTCGCTGTGTTACTCATTATTCTTGAGCGTTGCACATAATTATTTTGATGGTTCAACGAAATTGTTTTCAGATCTGTATCTAGTCAAATTTTTAAACACCTCAGCAAAGTCATTCTTTCCGTAATAGGGAATAATACAGGCAATAAAATTTCAATCTATATATTCTCTAAATTCTTTGAAGTGGAATCTCACTTTGAAAAACGAAAATTGAGCTAATCTTCAAAAGTGACTCAATTTTTAATTTTAAAAGATTTCACTCTTTAAAGTGAGGTTCCACTCTAAAAGTTTTAGACCTAATTTTACAACTCATGGTTAACCGAGATTCAACATATTTCTCATCTCTTTCCAATTCTAGAATTGGAAAGAGATAATGAATAAATTGAATCTCGGTTAAGAGTTAACCATGAAGAGTTAACTTAGAAACTGGGCCTTAGAGAATAGGAAACATGTATCAGTTTGATTGGGTTTCCCACAGGTTGAAATTTTATTGCCTTTGTTGTTCTCCCTATTCCTGTTGTCTGTGCTTTCCATTTTCCATCGTAAGGCTTAAAGTGGCGCGCGTCTTCACAAACAGACGACTGGATTCCACCCCTGCACCGCACATCTTTGAAACTTTTATGACTGCAGACAACGCAATTAAACGGTCGCATGTCTAAGAACAAGTTATATTTGCCTACACTCGAGAAGTACGTTCGAGGATACTTCATTGCTGCTTCCACACCTTCGCACACCTGCGTATTGCATACATCATGGCGCGACACGCACCCGTGATTCCCTTCCTGATCCCTACCAACGGTTTCGCACGTTTTACGAGTCACGCGGATAAGATACGATCGGCCAAGAAAGGTTCGTAAGGGCCGGAAGAGCCCTTCCTGTCGATTGCGAAATCGCGCGTCGCGGTAACCGGTTTGCAACAAAGGATAACAATGCAACTCTTTTGTAAAAAGAAAAAAAAGCTTCTCCCTCAAGATGCTTCTTTTTCCCAAATTCACTCTTACCTTCACGGAAAGAACGATTTGAACTGAAGTGTCTAAAAAAGGTAGATACATATCTGAAAATAATTTTACTGGATCAAAGAATCAGTATAATTTTGATGGATGGACTATCAAAATAATATTATAGAGAAGGTATATGAAAAGCAATGCTGCAACAAATTTCGATATTCCAGTAATTAATTTAAATGTTCTACGTAATTAATTTGAGAGTCCAATAAAATATTTTCAGATCTATATCTATATTTTTTGGTACTTCAGCAAAACCGTGAAAAAAAATTCAAAATTTATTGCGTTATTTTCTTCTCTTACAACTCTACCTTGACACTTGAGACGCAAATTATATTCTTTCTCCAGCTCGTCTGTCACTCGAGTGAGAAAGGACTCGGAATTTTTGCAGGTTGACGATAATTCACAAACGCGAGGCCGATTAATTATCCGACTAAATTGGAGCTGCGGCAGAAATGAATTCCGTTGCTCGCGTGAGAATTAATCGTGACTTCTCGTCTTGTAACCCGAAACGTTGTTGTCTACCCAATACATTTACATAGTCGCTAATAACAAGTAAATAGCACGCTCGTTCTCTCGCCTCGTTGGCAATTTCAAGGCAACCGTTAATCTGCGATTTCTTTGATCAATTTTTTTTTTCAATATATCCGTCTCGATGGTTCTAACTACATCGTCGCGATTATAAAAGAGAGCACTTCTTTTTATAGCCTTCTGCTCTTCCGTATTCACGTGTTATGCCATCCATCTTTGCAACGTTGTGTAATATCGTTAAATCGAGCTTAGCGTTTAACTTTCCCTATATTTTGTTTTCTTGAAAAATATAAAAATTCTGCCTC